GCATATTCTGAGTAAAGAGAAGTCATGGACATGGTCAAAAAGAACAGGGTTAACAAACACAAAGACCATGTTATTGTAAATTGGAAAATAAACTGAGTGTGACAGGGTAATTTATCCAGTCAAGTGAAGATTGTGTTTCCCTCTTAAGAGATCTAAGCTGGTGGGGGAAAAGGAAGATTTGCATGATAAAGGGGTATGGAGTTTCCTGCCTCGCCTTTGTTTGGTTTGGTTTTTGTTTAAGGATTCTTGACAGTGAAAATACCGAAGGGAGTGGGAATTCAAGTCTTTATGCTCTGCCAACACCCCAGGGATTTTCCTACTTGATGTAATAGCAGGTCCGTACTCAGGAATTTCTGTGAGTGGGTGCTTTTTTTTTTTTTTTTTTTTTTGTAAATGTGGACCGCAAGGATATGAGCCCCCTTCCCCCCCTTGCCCTCCAAAGTAAGCATTCTCTGGCAGGCTGGGGGAAGGCAGGAGTGGCGAACTGATCTGCCCGAGCCTCCCCCTCCATGCTTCAGCTGGCCCAGGGAAGGCTGGGGCACATTTATCCAGCTCCAGCCTTCCTCCAGTCAGCCAAAGAATGTCGGAAGGAGGTTCAGGCAACACTCCACTCCTGCCTTTCCCCAGCCAGCCGTCTAAAGCATGTTTACCTGAGCTCACACCCTTCGCACCCCCCGCGTACGGGCCTGATTCATCAGTTCAAATCGCTAATTGGAAATCTGCCTGTATTTGAAGCCACATCCAAAATCTGTTCTCTAGCTTTAACCCTGTTGTGCTCTGGAGAACCATGTCTACCCCCATGCTGGTAGCTCAGGGTCTTCCACACACCTTGGTAAAAAGGGGAAGTATGACTTGCAGTTACCTCACAGAAATTTTGGAAATATACTCAGAGTCAGTGTCACTGCCAAATATAAGATGGAACAGATGATTTAGCATAAATAGTTAACACATTTTTCAAAGGGCCACTTAAGGTGAAGTAGCCCCTTAAGAACTCCCCTGTCATGGGCTAGTTAAGGGGGTCACAAATTGTTATAAGGAATCATACATCCAGTGTGGCTGTTCAGTTAATATTTTGTAGTCTCTAGCAAAGGTATGAATTTAAGCTCCCAGACTCTAAACTACTGTGCAAATTTCCTCTGAGGACAAGACCTGAGGGATCAGATACAGTGTGATGGCTTTGTGAAAAGTGTAGTAGCTTCAGTGGCATTTCCAAACCTGCTCGTATCCTCTTGCCCCCCTCTGAGCAAGCTGCAACAGAATCAGATACCACCCAAAGGGATGGCACCCTCACTTCCTATGGGACTAGAATGTGGGACTGAGGTGACAGCGAAGGGGGGAATCACCCCTCAGAAATGGGGGTGAATGGGCTGAGGCTGTCAGTACCAAGCTGTGGCTGAGCAACAGCAACCGCTTAAGCAGCAGTAGCCCGTTCTGTAACAACTCCTATACATCTAAGCAGCAAAGGGCAAGGAGTGGGGCACTCACCTCAGCTGGGGGGGGAGAGGGAGAGGAGAGAGGCTACACTCTTGGCCCTTCCTGCTACAGCCAGTAGCCCCTCGCCCAGCCAGTCCCACCACCTGTCTTAGGGCACAGACTGTCTGCCCAGTGGACAAGGGGCTCTCATGCTATTGCTGCGGTTAGGAGGACATGAAGCAGAGCAGCAGCCGCCCGCCTCTCCCCCCCCCACCCCCCCATTTACCTGACTATGAGATCTTTGAGACCCGGATTCGGAATGAAGTTCTCAGAGGCAGCACAGAGGGATGGGGGCAAGACTACAGCTCCCAGAGGGCCGGTGCCCTTCCCTTCAGTGCTGGCCAATGAGTGGCAGATTCCATTCTTTGTCAGCTCTGATTGATGCCTGTGGCAAGCAGCTGGCTGCCACTTCAGTCTGGCTGGAGATGTTGAAGCCTTCCCCAGCCTGGACAGAATTGGCCCCCTGGAGAACCATGGGAGGTGCGTTAGCACCCTTCGACCCCCCTTCTTCCCCTTACCTCCCATGTACTGGCCTAAATAGTCTATCCAGACATGAGAGTCTGGCTATGGGGGTTCATATGTACAGGATACTAAGTATGAACAATTTTTTCTCCTTTTACTTTCTCTAAATTACTGCAATATTCTGTCTGTTCAACTTCACACAGGAGAGAGAGGAAACCATCTCTTCCCCCATCATTTCTCCTCCCCCTTTTTCTTATTTAAAAGGGCTATTTTACCTTTTACCTTATGTGCAATTGCTTCTCTTAGTTTTGATCTAAAATATTCTGGGATGCCTGAAGCAATCATCTTCCCCTGAGAAGCATTACCATTCAGATCAGACCAATGCAGCTAGAGCTAATTTAAAGAATCTCAAGCTTAGCAATCAACAGCTAAGAGAAACTTAGAAAACAAGTTACTGTTGTTTAAAAGATTACAAGCAGTAGTGTACAGTCCATTTCAGAGTTCACTTCTGCTTGGATAGCAAGCAAGAAAGGTACTGATTCAAAAGGCAGAGGTTTTATTTTGAGGCTCTGGTAAAAAGTTGGAGGAATTATAAAGAGCCTTTGCTTACTATAGCTTTGCTTGATTTTGCACTTTAAGGTGTGGTTCTACTCTATGAATATGGCATCACGGGTTGTCTCACTGACTTGCACCTCAAATGTGTTTCTCTTCAGGGGGTCAAGTTGGAAAAACACAGAGTTGTACTCTTCTAAGCTCTGCTTGGAAAATAAGCTCCACTCACTTGAGACGAGAAAATGAGATGCTGTTTTCAAAGACTGTGCAGAGGCTGAAAACTAGACCATGTGGTCTACTGTGCTTTTGGGGCTTGTCTCCTTATCAATGGGGTTCAATGCACTGCTGGACTTCTTGGTGGTAGCTGCTTCTTGATGGTCAGTGTGGGGAGAAGAGTGTTTGTGATGCAGCACAGGAAAGAGTTAACTACATTGACATATCGGTTATCATCATTACTACCTGAGTTAATTGCCAGTGGGATGAATGGGGCAGGCAGTTGACATTTCACACCTGTCATTTCAGATGGTCTGAGAACTTAGATATCTAGCTTCTGTTACATTTGGTTCACATTTTCAAAGTTTTCTTTGAAATCGTAAGAACCATAGACTTTTTTTAAGTAAGGCTGAAATTAGACCCTCAGTTATACCTATGGAATCTAATTTTCTTTCAGTGGTTTTGTACAGTTGTAACTCATTGGGACTTAGTATATGATTGCCAAGAACAAGAATCCAATTCCTTGCTCCCAAGAGGTATTGACCTTTCACATGATAAATGGAGCGTGAAAAAGCAGTAAAAAGAAACAGTTGTTAAAGTAAGCTATACATAGAACAGAAACGTAAGAAGGTACCATTTTTATAAATCCAATTTCAGAATAGAAATACTTTAAATCAAATATGACCGAGTCAACTGATACTGGATTAGAACTGAGGTATGTTCTTCCGGGACTGATATAATTAAGCATACCTGATTGCTTTAGATATATATTCTATTGGACAATTTTTCTATGTTGTCAAGTGTATAAAAATGTTTCATAGGATACTGCGCCCATAGGTATTTATTTATGACTCCCATATTCTGAGAATCTACTGATTTTAATTTAGAAAATGTTTCATCATGGTTAATTATGTCTTCACAGTAAAGTGTATGGTTAAATCACTCATTCATAGACATCTGTACAAATCATAACTACATTAAAATGCATCCAATGGGCTGTGCTTTTATCTACTGTCACAACTGCTTCTCTTTTCCAAAGCTATTACAAGAACTATATGTGTGAAAGTGCATAGAATAGGAAAGCTTTATCTTCAAGAATTCTGCACAAAGCCAATTTTGTGTCTGACAAAGGGATCAGCTACTACACAAAGGAATAAACATAGCTAAATCCAAGGCCAAAGATGAACGCGTGTCTCAAGCAGTAGATGAATAACTGAAGAAAATAGCCCTGAATGCTCAGTCATAAGATTTGTGAATCTGAGAAAGAGAAGAAAAGGCATACAAAGAAAGTTGTCGCTTATCTGTTCAATCTGATCCCTCCTCTGTGCCCTTTTTCTGTGTACAGACCTGCAGCAGAAGAGGAACTCACCTAAGGTGCTGTCAGTAATATACCTCCTATACATATTAAATTGTAAGTGAAGGAAAGGTGACCAAATGGACAAAAATGACAATGGTTCAGAGCAAGAATGTTCCTCTTCCTAGATAATATGAGCACAGCAGCAGAGTTGCTGTTTTTATAATGGGGATGCTGAAAGCCATTGAACCAAACTGTAAAGCCTGTATATGATAGAAACCACTTCAAATCATGTGGTGCAGCAGCACCCTCAGTATTCCTAGACTGAGCACCTATGCTTGGTAGAGTGCTTTTAATATCAAGTTATGTACATCTACACAGAATGCAAGAGTGAGTCTCTGAGCGTAGGTTGGCAGACTCAGGCTTGTGCTAAAAACAGCTGTGTGGATACTCAGGCTCTGAAGCTTAGGTAGAGGGACAGGCTTCAGAGCCTGAGCTTGAGCCTAAGCCACAAGTGACTACATAGCTGTTGTTAGCATGTAGCGTGAGCCCCAGAAGTCTGAGTCTGTCAAGCTGGGCTCAGAGACTCACCGGATTCGCAACTGTACAGATGTCATGCATCCATAAAGGCTAACCTCTGTAAGGTAGACCAGCTTGTGTAAAAGAATGCCTGCTTACCCCATGCTAGTAAGAGAGTGATTCTGTGCCTAGTCCCTGAACAAAGAGGACAGCAACTTCATAAAGCAGAGAAAGAATTAGGTTTTGCAGAAATAAAGCTAACAAATTCCTCTGGAACTCTGCACAATGTACAGACTGTAAGTATTAAGATATTGGGTGCATCTTTATCAGAAAGGCAGCCTGTTATATAAACAGTTCCCCCAATCTCAATTAATAGCTAATACAACCATATATAGGCCAGTATTTTCTCTCCTTACCAGCAGAAATTTCCCCATTTAGAACACTGCAAAAATCCACACACTTACAAAATCATGCAGTTTTATTTTACCTTTGCCTGTACCTACAGCAGGAGGAAGAATACCAGCTTTAATGGGGGAAAATAAAAATAGGACACTATATAATTAGATACAACACCAAAGGAACATACATATAAATACAATTTTTCATTATAAACCATAAAAGCATGCACTAAGTAAAAAAGATCAAGGGAATAAGAAATTAAACACACACTTATGTTGAGCATTGATCGTGTATTCTATAAATTAATATACATGCATTTATTAATCTTTACTGTTCATGCTTGTTAACATTCACTTTTAAAAAAAAGTTACACCTTATGATATAACTGGAATACACCTTATTAGATTTACTGGGTTTCATACCAACCAATATATGGCAATTCCAACTATAAGTTTACCAAATATGAAACAAGTAAATCTAAAGCTTGCAATAAAACAGATTTTAATATTAAAGATGTGCAACATTATCAAAGGCTACATCACAAAATTTCCAGAGATTTTTATCGTTTAAATTGAATTTCCATAATATTTTAAAAGATAGCACCGTCAACGAAGAATTCTCTACCAGATCATAAATCTAATATGCCTAAAACAACGTAAGCTTGTAGAGAGATACTCTTACTCCTAAGGTAACGTGCAGCTGTTCCAGATTCTTTAACTGTTGACCATATTACATGCTGGTCTTTGTTTAGATGTGGTACTACATTTACAGTGCATTCATGTTCCTACTAGGCCCACAAAAATCATTTAGAGTATATATAAATTATTGTGATTTAGAGATCTGTACTGTTTTGTACTTTATATATTTCTACTAGCCAAATGGTATCCAGCAGCATTTCATGACTTTATCATTGGCCATAGGATAATAACCGGAACAAAGTACTGTACTTGTTACCAGAAGAGGTCATGGAAGCAGAATATTGTATGGTATGGATGACTTGGGCAAGGCACTTAAAACTTTGAAAGGCACATCTTATCCCAGAAAAGAAAGCAACCTAGGTCTTTTAAGGAAAGTGATATACAGAAGTAGATTTTTCCACCCATTTTTCAAGCTTCGGTTGTGAAAGAAAAATGTTGCACATCTTTTCTTTAAAATCTATTTTAAATAGCTCATATTAGTGCACACTAAAACCAGGGATGCTCTAGATCATTTTTAATAAAGATTGCAACAGCAAGAAAAAAAGTACTAACATTTTGTATAAAACATGTATGATTCTTTAAACTTAAATGGACTGTCTTTATACATACCCATCTTACCTTCATCCATAATTGTTACTGCTTCCTCAGTTATTTGACTTCCAGATCCAACTGATGTTTGGGCATAAAAGTAAAACTTGTATCGTGTGCTGTAATTTAAATTACTTAATATCAAGCTGGTCTCATTTGCAGGAATTCTGATATCTACCAAAGGACCTAATTCATGAGTGCTGTTAACTGAGAAAACAAAAAGAGTTAGATGGTTTATCTCTGAATATCTAATTAGGATATCTAATATCTATGTGACAGTTGTGTTAGTTAAAAAATGTGATAGCCAGGATACTGCCTTTCTTTTTAAATTTCTTTCCAAAGCTGTTCATTTGCTCTTTGCAGAAATGATAAATATTGTCACTTTTGCTATCTGACTTGATACATCACCCATATGCTGCATAGAGGCTGGCACCTAAGGTGTAGTTCTGAGAAGGGAGACAGGGAGATGTTTTTACCAGTAAAAAGACTAAGAGAAACATTTACCAAGCACCTAAGCCACTTAGGAATATAAGCCCCAGTTTGAAAAATGACTTTGTGCCAGATTTTCAAAGGTATCTAAGTGCCTAAGGATGTAGACTGTTATCTAGTGAGATTTTCAAAAGTATCTAAGGAGGTGAGGATGCATCGCCTGAGAAAAGAGCATCCCAAAGGCATGGCTGTGTAAGAAGCTACCCTGGAGATAAATTAAAAGTTAAAGATACTTTCTGATAACAATAGATGATTATGTGATTAAAAGTCCTCATTACAGTCATTCTTGGAAAACATTGATAACCTGCAAATGTGTTTCAGTGAAATACTTATTTTATATATAAATATATAATGCATTTTATTTGAATACTACTAAATTGGGTGTGCGTGCACACACACATATATGTACACTGCCTCTTTCCCCGCCCATATATTTCATAGCCAAATGAACCCTCCCTACAGTTACCATGCAGAAAATAAAATATTCCAAGTAGGACACACATCATGTTGCAAATAGGGTTTTGGGTTTTTTTTTTTTTTTTTTTTTTTTTACATTTTCACAGTATTTTACTTGAACATTCATAAACTATAAATATATGCACATATGTACATGCTATATATGGCCCAAACAGTTTTTTATTTTTTGGCAACTGATCCATGCTTCCTTTCCACATATAATAAAAGGGCATGTATTAAGGATGTTAATAAGTGCATAATTCATTAATCATATAGTCAACATTCATTTTGTCAACTACACAATTCATCAATAAGGGGTAGCTCTCAATCCTAGCTTGTGCTGGGTCTGGCAACTACCACCGCTGTGGCTCTGCACGACAAACACCTGTAATGCAGAGCCACTGCGGGGGCTGATGCTGGGTCCCGGCACTTAGAGCCAGCTCGTGAGCAGGCTGGCTCAGTCCCAGCTCGTCCCAGGACAGGACATCAACCCCTGCTGCAGCTCTGCAGTCAAAGCACTAAAAGCCAGCTTGGGCTTCATGCTGGGTCCCAGCACAAGCCAGGACTGAGTCAGCCTCTCAATGAGCCCATTAAAAATGTACTTGGAGGGGGAGGGGACAGTGTTGCATGTGGTTGACAGCATTACCAGCTTATTGATTATACTATCACAGCCCTAGTATGTATGTGCAACTATCAACTAAACAATAAACAAAATATTCAGATGAACCTGCAGCTATATCCCCTCACTACTGCTATCTTTTCATATTATACTCGCTATGAAGAATCAGGCCTAGGCAGTTGCTGGAGGAGATAACAGCAAAAAAACCCGCCTGATCTACATGAAGGAGTGTATGTGATGTAGCAGACGGCTGTCTTCCCTTCACATTGATAATGAATGAAATATGCCTTCAGCTACCTGGAGTTCTCAATCACGATGAAGGATGAGGTGCACAAGGTGTTTGAGGTGGCCACATGGACTGCCCTGCAGTCCAAGTGTGGGCACGAGAAAAACTCATACCAGCTGCTGTAATCCCACCTCCTGCCAGGCCCTCCTTCCGATCCCACGCTTAGGGGATAGGAAATTGATGGTCCCTCCATCATAGCTCAATAGCTTCTAGAGTACACTCAACCATCTCTTCTGGCTACTGGAGCCTCATGCAGTCATGTGGTGTGATCCATGGCACAGTCCCCTTCAGACCCATTCAGTCTCTCCCACTGAACACTCGGGGTGGGGGGGGGGTGGGGGACAGAGCTTAGCGTCTTCCAGTCGCCCTTCAAATGGAGCCTGAAATCATTCGGCTTGCTCAGAGTAGCCTGCCCTGAAAGTCTTGGCCAGTTGCAAACCTGCAGACCCTCACTGAGGAGCTTGTCACTGCTGCTACCAGTTTTAGTGGGTCAGCCTGGGCCTCTCCCATCCACAGACCGCTAACCATGCCACCTCCTTGTATAAGTTCATCATCAAGTTGCCCCTCTCCTGGGATCTGCCTCCTGCTCCAGGGAATGGTAGGGTCAAAGGTGCTGCTGCCTGCTGTACAGGTTTCTTCCTCCACACACCTGTTTATCTCTTGCTAACCAGGCGTGCCCACCCAGAAAACTATGTACGTTTATTCAGCAGCAATGTGGGCGGCTTTGCCTCAGGAGAGTGCCCAACTCCAGCTCCCACTCCTCCCTCTCAGGGTTAGGGACTCCTGTAACCAGTGCCACAGTCAGAGCTTTGATGGCATGCTTTCTCTTTGCCCCACCCAGCTCACAGATACTGACATGCTGCCCCATCTGGTTTGTATGTTCATGGGAAAAGTGATCATTACTTTTCAACTGTACTTGAAAGACAAACAAGGTGACTCTTAGGGGCTCAGTCTTTCAGAAAATATATGAAACAGTTCCTGACCATTTGTAGTCATGATATATCTGCCTGACTACCTACTCTCCCCACACACATTAACTGGGAAGAGTGCTTTCTATCCGGTAACTATTGTGCAATGGTACTGCATTCTGGTGAACCACTATTATATTTTAGCCTAGAGCTCTGTGCTCAGCAATGCTGGGTGAAGTGAATACTACATATTCAATGTAAAATCAGTATATTAATAAAGGGATCCAACTGTATGATATATGCTACATCAGATATTTATCTTAATCATTGCAGAGAGCACAACTGTATTTATTAGAGTAACAATGCTGTAATTCTGCTATCCTTTGCAAGAATTACATTGCTCCTCAGAGTGCAAGTCAGGGGTAAGGACATATTGTACGTATAGAGAAATAGTTTCTGCCGCAAATAACTTAACATCCAATTTAACACAGAAACATATGAAGGTGTGACAAATAAATGGGAGGACAATTAATTGGATTTGAGTCATTGAAAAAAAATTGTTTTTTGAAGGGTTTAGTACTAATATATAACAAATCCGAAATCTTGATAACATCAGCTATCTGCCTAACCATTATCAGTTGGCTATGTGCTGTAGACTTGTTGATAGAAAAGGGGATCTGAAGGAGGACAGATTATTGGATTTACAGTCTAGTTTGAGAGGGCCTTCCATGACTTGTTTATTGTTTTGCTGACAATTACAAATCAGCTTGTACTTGCCTTTTGGAATGACGCATGAATCAATTCATTGTAGAGCAGTACAAATCAATCAAATACCTCAAATCACCCAGTTGTAGCCCAGGGGATGAACTCTTGCAGAATGAACACATTGGAACAATTGTCAAGGTAGATGAACTTTTACCATGTTTCAACTAATATACGATTCAGAATGATTTATTTTTAATGTACAAACGGCATACCACACAGTTGTTGTAATTTATGAAATAACTACTTAATAGGGATGTAAGCTACTAGCTGACTACTCAGGAAGCAAATGCTTATCGGGTAATCAAGTAGGAACTAGACCAGTCGTTTCCCTCCACGTACTGCCTCTATCAGAGAGAGGCAGCTGGGGGGGAAACATGAGCCGGTGCTGGGGGGAGCCAGCTTAAAAGCCAGTTCCCTGTCACTTGCTCCACGGGGGGCAGGGAAAGAAGGAGAATGGGGAAATGGCATGAGCAGGAATTGAAACAGTCCCACTTGCACTAGTTCCGTCTGCTGCTCCTCTCCCTTTGAAGTGTACAAGAGCCAGCTCTTCAAAAGAAGAGGCACAGAGGGGAACCCGCACTGCAGGCATAGGTTCCTGCTGCCTCTCTCCCTTTGAAATGCACAGGAGCCATGGGCAGCTCTTGTACATATCAAAGGGAGAAGCGCAGCGGGATAGCGAGTGCCCCCCTTATTGACTAAACTGAGTAGTCGATGGAAATGTCATCAGCTACTCAATTAGCTGATTAATCAAAATTTAACACCCCTACTACTTAAAGAGATAAACTTGTATTCAGCAGGCAGGTAATTTGAGACAAGTTTTTTTTATTTTACCGTTATTTACTTACTTGGTTGAAACTTTAATGTATATGCTATCAAAACACCATTTGGGTGAGTAGGTGGACCCCATTCCAAAGTGAGAGAGTCCAGTGTTGGATTAGTAATCTTCAAAAAGGAAGGTGAGCTGGGAACTTGTAAGAAGAATATATGGTAAATGCTAAGTAAATTACACTAGAATGTCTTATAATACACGCTGGTTTAACTTCTGTATCATTTTTACATTTGCTTTCACTTTTGTACATAACATAATGTTTAATATCCTGACTACTTTAAACCCCCAATTTTATTTTCTTTCTATTATCAAAGAAAATTTAAAATTAATGAACAATCTTACAATGGGCTATTTTTTAAAATGATAAGCTTAGTTTTAAACCTTAGTTTTCTCATTTCATACCTCCTTCAGGAGTCTTAAACAATTTGTCAGGACTTGCTGGTCCTTCCCCTTTACCATTAACAACTCTAACATTCAGCTTGTAAGAACTATAAGGCTCCAGTCCTGGTAACATGCCATGTGTCTTGTTTCCACTGAATGTCAGAATCTTTTTCTCCACATGTCGTCGCCTTCTTTTAGATAAATTCTGGACTTTCCAGTAGTAAATCTAAACATTAAAGAAAACCTGTAGTGAGTATTTCGGTATTCCTGCAAATTGGTATCTAAGTTTTATTCATGAACACTTAACTAAGTTTCAAAAGGGGGTTACTTAGGACTAGACAGTGGCTTTTTAAAAAGCTCCATGTAAGGGGCAGTGCAAGGCTGAACTGTACCAGAAACAGATAAAGGATCAGACTGTGACTTTCAGAACCTCAAAGATATGTTTGTGCGTGGACACAAAGCAACTTTTCTAAGCTGGAATGACAGGAAAATCATCAAAGGGGACCTACAACCCAGTTCTGCAAGTTAATCCACACAGAGGTCAGAGTCTGCCTTCATCTCACTGCAAGATCTGGGTTGCAGTCTGAGCCACAAGCTGAGGATGACCAATGAAGCTCCTTTTGCAGTCCATTTTATAGTGTCATAGAATCCTAGAATTGGAAGGCACCTCGAGAGAGCATCAAATCCAGTCCCCTGTTCTCACAGCAGGACCAAGCACCATCTAGATCAAGGGTTCCCAAACTAGGGGGTGTGAAGAAATTCCAGGGAGGGGGCCTTCCCCCCATCAAGCTTTGCTGCCCTGTTCAGTTCCTTTTTTTTTTTCTTCTCAACAAGTTTTGCTGCTATTTGGGGTGTGTGCGTGAGGGTTTTTCAAAAATAAAAAAGGGGGGCATGATGCCAAAAAGTTTGGGAACCACTGATCTAGATCATTCCTGATAGGTGTCTGTTTAACCTGCTCTTAAATATCTTCAGCTATAGAGACTCTACAACCTCCATAGGCAAGTTATTCCTCTGTTTAAACACCCTGACAGTTAGGAAGTTTTTCCTAATGTCCAACCTAAACCTCCCTTCCTATGAAGCCTATTTTACATATGCATAATCTTTTTAAAAAAATAATTCTCTCCCTGAACTCTGTAGAGGCTTTTTTTAACAACAATTCTCTTGCTTCTGAATGCATAACCCTCTTTAATAAAGGACAGATACATAAAGGTGAATGAACATACACTCAGGATGAATTTTAAGTAGCTGTCCACTTAACAGTGAAAAGGGGGATTGTGTGCCCAGTCTCCTGTGCACTCATAGCAAACATTTAGGCTGGTCCACAGTGGTATTTCAGAGCTCCCATGGTACAACTAATAACTAGGACTTAGCTCATTTTTTCAAATCTTGCCTTCCACCCATGAATGGGGTAAGAGACTCTTGAGGAAGGACTACAGGTCTCCTGTTTTCCCATTGGCAAGAGATCCACCCCACAGATCTTATCCCTTTTACCTTTATCCACATTGGACACCAGCCACAAGTTGTTGTAAGCTAAGCATGAACATTACTTTCCTAATGTCAAGCCTTTTTAAGTCTTAATGCTATACCTAATACATACAAAGAAACCCGACAGACCAGACCCTCTTATCAAGTTAGTCCAATGGGAAAAAAATCCTTCCTAATCCCAAAATGGGCAATTAGTCAGACCTGCAGCATCCTAAATAATGGCATCAATATTATACTAAATATAATAACTAAAGTAGACTTCTGATAACCCGGCACCTATGAGACCGAAGGGGTGCTGGATTATCATATATGCCGGAGTATCAGGTGTTACTCCGCCAGGGACTCTGTGACAGGTCTGCCAGGGGCGGGAGGAGGTTGGCGGGGAACGGCGCGGTGAGGGGCGAACTCTCTGCCATTTTGCAGTGAGGCGGGGGAAGCCCCGCGCAGTCACCAGCAACAGGCCAGCTGGGGCTGCAAGCAGCACTGCGGGACCAACCCGGCAGCACCCCAGCTGCTCTGCCCCGCCGCTTCCCCAAGTCCACCGCTGCTGCTTGCAGCCCTAGCTGGCCTTTAGCAGGCAGCTGCGCGGGGCTTTCCCCGCATCCCTGCAAAATGGTGGAGGGCTCGCTCCTCACCGTGCCGTTCCCCGCCGACCCCCCGGCCAGAAGACTGCGGTCCGGCAGAGCTGTCACAGGGGTATAATCCTCTTCTCCTCTCCTCCCTTTCCCTTTCCCAGCCCGTGAGCACGCATGGGGCTCACAAGAGCTCCAATTGTCTGTCTGGCTGGAGCACTTCCAGGTTCCAGTTGGTGCTGGAATATCAGGAGTGCCAGACCACTGGATGCTGGACAATTGGAGTTTTACTGTAGTGACTCCATTCCCCCATGTCCAACCAATGGAAAGGCAGCAGACCTGACAGTGGGTAATCCCCAGTTGTAGTAATTCAGCCTATAAATATAACCTTAGTGTGAGTTCTGCCACCAGGGTCTGCAACTCACCCACTCTCCCAGCAGAGCTAATGGCTATCACTTCACTAAGCAGACCATTCAAGTGGAAGGCTTCCTATCGTTAAGTAGGACGTACTGGACAGGCTCTGAGCAATGCTTTTTCTCCTTGGTTAGTCATACATAAGGTGCAAGAGGCTCTTCTTAAGGGAGGCTAAAGAGTTGCCTCAGAACCTGGAGAGCTCATGCTTCATCTTATGAGACCTCTTCTTTGGCACCAATGACACAAAACGACTTCTGTGCCTCTTAGGAGAGGCTCCCTCCCCAGGAACAGGAGGCAGCAGCACTGTCCAAACTGGATGATTGGTAGCCCAAAGAAGGCCTCAGTATCAGGTAAGGCCTCATGGCCTGTTCAAGAAGTGCTACTTGAGCTGAAGGTCTTGTGTCATCTGGGTCCTCTTCTTGAGCCATTACAGATTGAACAGAGATCCTTAAGGTGGCCAGAGCCAGGTTCTTGTATGGGGATCACTGTCAGGAACTGCCCCTTCACACAAAGGGCAATTTCTGAACCCCAAGAGGGTATCACCAGGCAGCAAAGCTGATACCAGTGCATTATACTCTAACTTTTTCACTAACACTAATTAAACTATTAACTATGTACAATAAAGTAGTGCAAGAGGAGAAATTGTGAGATTCTGAAAACAACAGCTATCTGGAGCTCTGACTCTGAGCCTGACCCCCAAGCAGTGAGAAGAAACTGAAGTTGATCAGGTGGCGCTGCCTCATAGCCAGGTGATGAGCTGAGGCACTAGGTGTGAGTACAATGCAAATATCTCTAGCTGGGGCACACGGGATGTGCACACACCTACTTGGAATGCATGTCTGCATCTACTCAAAGAAGAACCAAAATTGTTGTCAGAAACTAGACATTAATTACTGAACAAAATAATTAGGGGACAGGCTGGTCTGCCCATCACTCTCTTTTGGTATCCTAAAAAGTAAAAACACTCAGGGGAGAAAATCAAAACAAATGCAACAATTACTGACTGAAAAAAGGGAAGGAGTAAGATTTCCCATCATGGCTGCCTTTCCTACAATTCCTGGGACCTACTGTTACACTTTTAAACATTTGTCGTTCTGATTCTGAATGATGTTCAGATCAGCCCAGGGTGGAGAGTAAGAGACCTAGATGACATCACCCCTCCACTGGCTTTGTCTGATTCCCTAACACCACCTGGGTTGTGAAACTGTTATTTCATCCCTTGGGTGTCCTTTTACTTCTCCACCTTATATCTTCCCTTTGCTATCCTTCTCCTTTTGCTTTCTGACTAATAGGAGTCTATCTTAGCCAGCAAAGGCATTTTCCAACACTGATCTAAGCTTGAGAGCACCAAGGCAACTAAAAGCAATGTCCTGAACATCCATATGTTGGAACAAATTTGTGAGGTCTCGTAATGGCTGGTAACACTCTGAAAGTATGTCTGTTTCTCCAGCAAAGAGAATGCAAATGAGAGTCCGTAGCAGAGAATTTTCTATCTTTGCTGTTCTTTTCCCTTCCCTATTGTGTGTGTTTGTCTTGGGTTGCTCCTGTGAAACAGAATTGGACTTTCACAACAGTAGCAATAACGAAAGCTCCAGTTCAGTGCAACTAACTTCTTTTTTCCCCTAAAAGAACAGTTATGATAATTTTTAATGCTATCTAAATCAGGGATGGGAAACCTTTATTTGGATCAGGGGCTGCTGACCCACAGAAAAATCAGTCGGGAGGAAGGCAGCGGGGACTGGAGTGACAGCACAAACTCCCCAATGCTGTGGGGACGGGAAGGAGCCCTGAGACCTGGGGGCCAGATCCAGGCAAGCCAGGACCATATCCAGCTCCTGTGCCTCAGGTTCCCCACCCCTGATCTAAAAGATGGTCAAACAAGGGTTTTTAAAAATTATTCCAGATGAGGAGAAAGGGAACAGAAATAAAGGATGTTGTTAAAATGAAAGCCTTGGGGAATACTTTACATTGCAAATACTTTAACTGTTTTTTCTGCATCTTTAATACAAGGTTACAGGGATTTATAATTGTGCGTTTTCCATGGGACTAAGCAGGCCTCTGCATAGTAAACTCTGGACCTTGTTTTACACTGTTTAATCTGGACAGTGACTAGATTGTGTTTATTTCTTTGACTCCCTAGGGACCGTGTATTCCATCAAAATAAATACAACACATTCCTACTAGGCATGTATGTTATCTTGTGTCTGCCCACTTCCCTCCCTCTATGTGGACACTGCCTACTTCCCTGGAGTTCATTTAAAGTACTTTCATGGTTGACTGCAGGGGAGGGCATTTCTGTCATCCACCTTCAACATTTTAGAATGTTATACACAGCAAACAATTAGTGTGCTCTCTTGAAACCTAAACCTGTGAGGTGCTGAGCAAATTCAGGCTTGTACCCTCTCCTTTTCTGGTGAATAGGAACCTAGGTTTGAATACCTCAATCCCTAATTCCTTTGAATACTTCTCCTTTCTTGTTCTGATCATGTTCTTCCTGGGTATTCATGAATGGTATTCACCTCCATTCATTTGCAAAAGGTCAAATACTGAAGTCACTGCATAAGGGGTGTTTTTGGTAACACATGCTCTTTGGTGTCTGCTAAGTACTACTCACAACATTCCAGTTAGGTTGATGGTGTTTTTTTCAGACTTAATAAAGGTGATGGTTTAAATTCTCAGTATATTTGTCTTAGTGCTGTGTCTCTCTTCTCTTGATTAGAGGGTTTAGTATTTCCCAGAATGAAGGTGTGAGCTT